TTATTATTATTGAAATGACATTAGCTATTCCTATGCATCTACTCCTCCAGGTAAATTTTTAAATCAACTTTCCACCTACCTCCCATCAGTATGACAGGTTTTTTTGTTTTTTTAATCTAGCTGGAATTTTGAAGGGTGTTTATATTCTTGAAGGTTGCCAGAGTAGGAAGACCCTTGGAGTTGAGTTAAAGAGAGCTGGATGATCTCACAGTATCCCTCCAAAGCCTCGTGACCACAGGCAGTTCATGTAAATGGCTCTGAACGGCGGCAGCTTCCCTACCTAGTAACTGGGAGGGATGATCCTTATGGGAGTAGAGGGTGAGGATATTGTAAAAAGCCCTGGAAGAGTACCTGACAATGAATATTTTTTAAATGTGCTTGTTTTGGAGACATGTGTTTTCACTTTGTCTTCTGGTCCTCTGTCATCAGCACCATTTTCAGTGGCAACTCTAAGGTGATCTTCAGTGAAAAGAGTTTGTGTAAGAGCGAGAACTGCATGAGTGAGCAGGATGAAGTTGAAGGCCCCCGCTTCCTGTGCAAGGCAGGCTGAACATTTATGATCAGTGAAGATTAGCCAAAGGGGAGGAAAGGGAATTGGGACAAACATAGACTGTTCCGTTGTGCCGGCATGTGCCACCAACCATGGCGTGGACTTCCTGCTGCAGGACACAGCTGACCTTTGGAGGCTCACTGTCTGGGTGAGGCTGTCCTTTAGCAGGACAGCACACAGCTGTTGTTTAGATGTCAGAGGCTGGTTAATGACTGTGTTTGGCAGTCAGCTTGGGATGTTAGCAGTTTGGAAAACAGTCTGCTTCTCGGTTTAAGGAAGGCGAGTATGAAGGGAATCTTCGTGTTGCTAACAGGTTGTTTGGTAATCCTTCCTTGAACAAAAATTAACACTTAGCAGCAGCTTAAAAAAGTATTAAGAGAACTCATAAAAGTCAGAGCAGATGTGCAGGAGAAGGTCACACTTCCGGAGCTCTCCTGGGAACTATTTCTGGAGTAACAAGTCCAACAAACATGTTAGTTCAGGTTGAGATTTCTAATGCAAATATTGACTCAATCTCAACCTTTTGCAGTTAATTCTCCAACTTGAATGTGTCCTTTCAGGCTACCTTGGCCTGTTTTCTTTTCTTGAGCCTCATACCTTGCCCACCCTTCATTTTGAACTCTTAGTAAGTGAGCTTTTAATAGTTCTGCATTCTGTCTGTAGGTCTGAATAATGTGAAGAGGCATAAATTGAACTATTCCTCCCTTTCCCAGTGGCATACTTGTGGGAAAGGAGGGAGGAGAAGAGACTGTTGAGACCAGGAAATCTTGGTGGAGTGTAAATGATTTCCAGACTTAGATCAGATTACGTAGAAATAGCTTCTTACCCACTATTTACCATTTCAGGAAAAACTCAGGACAGGTTGTTTTGTTGATCTTCCCCTGCCCACTTCACATGATTTTTTAAAAAATTACTGTTCATTTTAAAACACGTGTTTTAAAGTTTCTGTGAATTGGTGTGCAAACCGCTGCATAGCTTAAAAACTTGCAGGGTAGAATTGAAAGCTTTAACTGAAAGATATGACCAATATACTATATATTTACTTCACTTTATTCCTAAAGAATATTTTCACTGGATACAGAATTCTGGGTTGAGTTTTGTTTTTTGTTTGTTTGTTTGTTTGTTTGTTTTACCCCAGATGCTGTTTTACCATCTCCTGGCTTCCTTGGTTTCTGGTGAGAAGTCAGTGGTCTCTGGATATGATAGTGGTCACTATCATTTTTGACTTTATGGAATTTATCCTTTTTCTCTGGCTGCTTTCAAGATTTTCCTGTCTTTATCTTTGGTTTTATTTATCCTGCTTAGAGTTCATTGAGCTTCTTAAAATCTGTAAATTTAGGTTTTATACCAAATTTGGAGAATTTTCAACCATTATTTCTTCAAATATTTTTCTGCCCCATTCTTTCTCTCTTTTCCTTCTGAGGCTATGGTTATACCTATGATAGACTGACTTATTCTCTTAATTCCAGTGTAGTTAACATATGATGTTTTATTAGTTTCAGGTATACAATATAGCAGTTCAACAATTCTATACAACACTTGGTGCTCATCACAAGTGCACTCCTTCATCCCCATCACATACTTCACCCATCTCCCCACCCAACTCCCCTCCAGTAACTCTCAGTTTGTAGTTAAGAGTCTTTTTCTTGGTTTATCTCTCTCTTTCTCTTTCTTTGGCTCATTTGTTTGTTTCTTAAATTCCACATATGAGTGAAATCATATGGTATTTGTCTTTCTCTGACTGAATTATTTCACTTAACATTATATGCTCTTGCTCCATCCATACCATTGCAAAGGGCAAGATTTCGTTCTTTTTTATGGCTGAATAATACTCCATTGTATATGTGTACCAACTCTTCTATATTCATTCATCTATTGATGGACACTCGAGCTGCTTCTAAAATTTGGCTTTTGTAAATAATGCTGCTATAAACATAGGGACGCATGTATTCCTTTGAATTGGTGTTTTTTTAATTTCTCAGGTAGACACCCAGTAGTATGATTACTGGATTATAGGGTAATTCTATTTTAACCTCCTGAGGTACTTCCATACTGTTTTCTGTGTGGCTGCACCACTTTACATTCCCATCAGCAATGCAAGAGTTTTTCTTCACCTCTTTGCCAATAGTTGTTTTCTGCGTTTTTGATTTTAGCCATTCTGATAGGTGTGAAGAATATCTCATTGTAGTTTTGATTTGCATTTTCCTAATGATGAGTGATGTTGAACATCTTTTCATTTTTCTGTTGGCCACTATGATACACCTTTTGGTATTGTCGTACAGGTCTGATGTTCTGTGTTTTTGTTTTTGTTTTTTAATTCATTCTTTTATTTCTCTCTGTTCTTCAGATTGGGTAATTTCCATTGGTTTGTCTTCAAGATCACTGACACTTTCCAATATCATTTCCATTCGATTAAGTTCACCAGTGATTTTTTTTTTGAAAATTTTGTATATAGTTTTTTTTTTAATTGTAGAACTTCCATTTGGTTCTCTTTTATAGTCTATTTCTCTGCCAAGATTTTCTGTATATTTCATATATTCTTTTATGCCACTGAGCATAATTATAATAGCTGCTTTAAAATCCTTATCTGCTAATTGCAACATCTGGGTTATCTTGGGATTGCTGTTGATTGTCTTTTTTCTTGAGGGTGAAAAAAGAAATTTTTTCTTGAGGGTGAAAAAAGAAATTTTCCTGTTTCTGTGTATGTTTAATAATTTCAGATTGTATTCTAAACATTGTACTACTACATTATGGAGACTCTGGATTCTATTATATTCTTCTGAAGAGGTTTCACAGGGTTGAGGGAGGTTATTTTTTATTTTGGTTTTTGCCTTAGCTTGTGATTACCTTGGTTGAACTAAAACCACAAACCTTGGCCACTGGGCTAAGCATCTCAGTTCTTGGCTCAGTTATTTTATCCTTAGGTAGGTTGCTGAGAGTCTGTCCCATGCATGCATGTCTAGGAGATTTGGACAGAGTTTTTACACAGAATTTGAGGCTTTCTCTTTCTGGCTCTATTCTTTCTGGGATTCCCTTTTCACTTTCCAGTGGCTGTGGTGGTCCCAAAATCTGTCTCTGAAAGACTGCATGCTTTCTGTTGGAGTTTTAGCCACTCAGCATGGCACTGACCACAGCCTCCGACCAGGCTAAAAGCTATAAAATTGAGAACCCCATCTGTGTCTTTTCCTTTCTCCCACATCTCAGCCCTCCTGCAGTCTCCCTATTTTTTGTCTTTCTCCAGTGCTTCAGGCAATTGTTTTTATATTTTGTCTGAGTGTACATCTTTTTCCAGGAGAATTGGTCCAGTAGGAGCTAACTTGCCCATACCAGAGGTAGAACCAAAAGCACACTTTTTAAAGAACATTTGAAATGCAAACTGCTCCCTCCTATAATTAGTTCAGATTAGCAAATTTGAAAAATATATCTATAAGTAAATGAAGACATGGGACTTGAAAACTTCTAGAGGAAACTGTCATTTTTAGGGTCTTAGTAAACTACTGTTAACATAACAAATAAGCAACATAGTTCTTTGTATACTTCAGCATATTAATGAGATAGCAGAAGCTTCTTTGTTAAATCTTTTAGTCAAAGTTTCTTTTTCATACTAGCCAACTGAAAGTTGCCAGGCAGCAACTTACATACCAATTCACAGAATTAAAGGGAAACAAAAAATTACCCAATCAGAGTTGGAGATTTTCCCACTGTCAGCAACTGATAGATCAGTTACACACACACACACATCAGTAAAAGGCATAGATGAAGACGTAAGCCAGATTGGTGTTTGTAGAGTACTACATTCAGCAACAGGATGCACGTTCTTTTTAGTTGTACATAGCATGTTTACCACATCAGTCAAAATGCTGAACCATAAAACGAGTCTCAATAAAGTTTAAAAATTTGGAATATGTAAAGAATGTAGTATATCCTCTGACTACATTGGAATTAAATTAGAAGTCAATAGCAGAAATATATCTTGAGAAACCCCAAATGTTTGGAAATTCAGGAACACACTTGTAAATAATCTGTGTTTCAAAGAAGAAATCATAAGGGTATTCAAAAATAGTTCTAACTAAATGATAATGAAAATATAACATCAAAATTTATAGGATGCAGCTAAAGCGGTACTTAGAGGAAATTTTAGAGCTTTAAATGTTTGTTTTATAAAACAATTTTTATAAATTTTATAACAATTTTTAAAAGATTTTATTTATTTTTATTTATTTATTTACTTACCAGAGAGAGAGGAGGGGCAGAGGGAGAAGGAGAAAGAAAATCCAAAGGAGTCTCTGCTAAGCGCTGAGCTGGCTAGAGGCTTGATCCCATGACCCTGAGATCATGACCTGAACCAAAATCTAGAGTTGGTGGTTTAACCAGGCACCTCAAAAAGAAAAATCTTAAATGCGCTGTACAACAGAAATTTCTATGGCAATGGAAATGTTCTATCTGTGTTGTCAACTCTGATAGCCACTAATCATGTGTGGCTTTAATTTTTAATTAATTTAAATTAATTTAAATTTAGATACCCACATGTGGTCATTGGCTACCATATCAGAAAAGACAGGTCTAAAACTCAATGACTGAAGGTTTCTTTTTAAGAATAATATCTAAAATAGGTAGTAAGAAAGACATGAAAAAGATAAGAACAGTGGGGAGGAGCAGCAGCAGCCAGGCCACCCAGCTTCACAAAGGCTCTGCACACACCTGGCCCCACAGGCACAGGCACCAGGCACTCGCCCACTTCCCACCACGATGCCCAAGAGGAAGGTCCACTCCTGCAAGGGGGCAGCAAAAGAGGAGCCCAAGAGATCGTTGAGGTTATCAGCTAAACCTGCACCTGCAAAAGTGAAAACGAAGCAAAAAAAGGCAGCAGGAGAGGATAAATCTTCAGACAAAAAGGTGCCTACAGAGGGGGAAAGGGGAGCAAAGGGAAAAGAGGCTGAAGTACCTAACCAAGAAACGAAAGACTTACCTGCAGAAAACAGAGAAACTAAAAATGAGGAGAGTCCAGCCCCTGATAAAACAAGAGAGAAAGAAGCCATCTGATTAATATCATATACCATGTCTTACTGGTGCCCCCTGTCTCCCTTCTTGTACAATCCAGAGAAATATTTTTATCAACTGTTTCATAAATCCAATTTTTTTAGTAGTTCTAGAAACAGTTTTAAGAAAGAGAGAATCCCACTTCATCCTATTTTTTTTTAAGATTTTATTTATTTCTTTGACACGGAGAGAGAGATCACAAGTAGGCGGAGAGGCAGGCAGAGAGAGAGAGAGAGAGAGAGGAGGAAGCAGGCTCCCCACTGAGCAGAGAGCCCGATGCGGGGCTCGATCCCCAGACCCTGGGATCATGCCTTGAGCTGAAGGCAGAGGCTTTAACCCACTGAGCCACCCAGGTGCCCCTCATCCTATTTTTTAAGGGTAAATGCTTTTTTATCAGAGGTGAAATCATTTGTTGGTTGTTCATTTTTTGGTACAACCAAAGAATAGTGAGATATTGAATATGGGAGACTTTGATTGTCTTGTGTGTCAGCTCAACTTTCCATAGGTGGGGTAGTTCTTATATCCTATAATACCAAGCATACTAAATGGCATTTTGGAGTCAGTCATGAATTTAATATGTCTTGAACATTTTAAATTACTTCTATTTGCATGTTGTTTTTGGTAGAATTGTTTCCTAAAGAAAACCACTCCTTGATCTTGGCTCTCCCTGTCAGAATTTTGTGTACTCTGTAACATCTTGGTCTGGTAGTCCCAATTTTCCTAGTAACTTGTTAATGTGCTGTGCAAGATTGAAAATTTGAGAATGTAGTGTATGTGGTATTAAATTATAAATTCACATGACTTAACAGATGATAGTGTATTAACATTTGAAGATACTGATACTTGACATACTGTTAAGGAAAATTAGCCTTCAAATTTTAAGCTGGAAGGTCACTGGAATAACTTTTAGAAAAGAATCATAACTACATGACTTTTAAGATTTTCAGTATGTATGTTAAGAATTGTATACAAATTGAAATGTTTCTACTGATCCAATAAAAACTCAGTTATGAAAGAAAAAAGATAAGAACATGTCAGTAAACTGGAAAATAGAAAAAAAGTAGAGAAAAACCATAAATCCAAATGTTTTGTCTTTTAAAAGATCAATAAAATTGATTAGATATATAGATAGCATGCATTACCAAGAACCAGAATGAAAGAGGTGTTACCAATCCTGCAGACATTAAAAAATTAATAAGGGAATCTTAGGAACAACTTTATGCCAAAAAAATTTAACAACTTAGATGAATTCTATAAATTATTTGAAAAATACAGCTCATCAAAACTGACACCTGGGAGCACCTGGGTGGCTCAGTTGGTTAAGCGTCTGCTTTTGGCTCAGGTCATGATCCCAGGGTCCTGGGGTTAAGCCCTGCATCAGGCTCTCTGGTTAACAGGGAGTCTGTTTCTCCCTCTCCCTCTGCCCTTCCCCATGCTTGCACAGTCTCTCTTTCCTTTTTGCAAATAAATAAGTCTATTTAAAAAACAAACAAACTGACACCTGATGAAACAGAAAATCTGAATAGCCCTATGTCTATAAAAAAAATTCTAGTTCAATGTCAAATACCTTCCCACAAGCAACTTGGAGCTCTCAGTGTTGGTGGGAATGTAAAATGATATAACCAGTTTGGAAAGCTCTAGCATTTCTTTTTTCTTTCTTCCCTCCTTCCTTCCTTCCTTCCTTCCTTCCTTCCTTCCTTCCTTCCTTCCTTTTTTTTTTAGTAGGCTCCATCCATACCCATTGTAGAGCCCAACACAGGGCTTTGAACTCTGACCCTGAGATCAAGACCTGAGCTGAAATCAAGAGTTAGACACTTAACTGCCACCCAGACACCCCTCTAGCATTTCTTATAAAATTAAATATATCCTTATTTGACTCAGCAATTTTCTCACAGTTATTTACACAAGAGAAATTGAAATATATGTTGACAACACGTATAAAGCCTATGTGTCCCCATTAGTAGGAAAATGAATACAGAAACAGTAGGATACAATGGAATGCTACTTAGCAATATCAAGGAAAATTTTACTAATACATGCAACATGTATGAAACTAAGGAACTGAGTGAAAGAAGCCTTCCACAAAAAGGAGTATTTAGTATTTGATTCCATATCTATCAAATTCTAGAATAGGCAAAACTAATCTTTGGTGGAGGGAAAAATCAAAACAGTGGTTCCTTACAGCAAAGTAGGGATTTTTTAACTCAGGTATATATATTTATGTAAACTCAGTGTATATACATTTAAGATTTGGGCACTTCATTGAGTATAAATTTTACCTCAAGAGAAAAATAATGACTGCAGTGCAGTGAATTGAGCCTTTATTGGATCTGCCTTTATAGACAAGAAAAATGTACTATGAACACATTTGTTCTGAGTTTCTTGAGCACTGCTAATAAGCAAAGGACCACGGAATAATTAACTAATTAATTAATATGAATCAAGCATTTTCCCTGTCTTCTGGAAACTTGCAATCTGATGAAGGATATAAAACAAACATACCAATAATAGAGTACAGAGTATGATACATTGTCGATTAGCAATAGGGACAAGCTGGTGTGGTTGTTCAGGGGAATGAGCATTTTTAGGTTGGAGGAACCATGGTGGCTGCATGAAGGAGGGAATGTATTGAATACCAATGGACAGAAGGCCTCAGCAGGGGAGATGGTATCCCAGGTGCAGAAGGGAGCCTGTGCAGGTGTTGGGAGAGTGTGGAATAAAGGTAGAAAGGTGAGACAAGGGCCCTGAAAACCAGGTTTGGATTTTATTCAATAGATAGGTGGGAGACATTGTGTCTTTGCCCAAGGCCAGGAGACAGATGCTTTAACGTAAATGTTACTTAGGAGTACCTAGGAACACTGGAAGCCCAGATGGGATCCCTGACCCCCTCCTCACCGTAAGGCTTTGTTCCAGTCATGTGCTCCCTCGGAGGGGTGCCCAGGCCCCAGCTTCAATTTGAAGAAATTAGATTAGAGGATCTCCATGGCCCTTCCAGTTCCAACAGTCTGTGATCTTGTGGCCGCTTGAAAAAGTTGTTGCTCAAACAGAGTAAATATTTCCTCTTGCAATATTATTATACTCTGTTAGCCAATTCTTTCTTCATCAAGTCTGGATTGTACTGTTAGACATATTACAAATCCTGTATGCAAGTGTCAGAGCTCTGAGCTGTTGCTGGGTGATAATGCTGCTTTTTACAGAGTTTTAACATTTCAAGCTGTTGAACTTGCACATTCTGAAAAAATCACTGATGTCGTGATGTTAAGCCAGATGAGGGTTATAGGGGAAAACTTAAAACACTTCATGGGAATCTGGGAGTTCTGCATCTGTCACGGATGAGTCTGAATAATCTGAACTTGAAATGAGACTCCTCACAGAATGCTTACAGCATTCTGGTAATTCCTGAGTGCAAGGAAATGGAATCTTAAAACTGTGTGGAACAACACAATTTCTTTGGATGAAAAGAGTATTTTTATTAATGGTTTTATTATTATATCTGATGCCTTCTGCTCTTTGGTCCCAAAGATCAGAGTCCCCCAAAATATATATTGAGCCATTGGATGCATGATGAAAAATTAACTTTCCATCTCTAAGTATCCAGGTCCAGGTGGACACCTGCTGTGTCAGGTGTGAAGGAAAGATAATGGAGATACTCTTTCCTCCAGACCACTGGGTCCAAGCATTTCATGTGGGGAAAAAAAGGATAGGCTGAGAAAGTTGTGTGGTGTGGGAACACAAACTCCTCGGGAAGAAAAAGAGAAAGAAAGGTAGCCCAGAGCACTTCCATAATAAATTTGCCATGGCTGTGGTGGTTTGCTGGCTGGCTTACTCCCAGTTCCAAAGACTCAGGCTTGATGCTTACAGAGAATGGAGCTGCAGAGACAATGTATCTCTTAGCATCCGTTCACTTTTCATCTTAATAGGGAGAGAAACCAAATCCTGACCTCATCAGAACACCAGACCACCTCTCTCCAGGTGTCTCAGATATCTATGCTCTGTGAACTTGGCAGAGATGGTCTTTTACAGGGAGGGTCTTCTCTCAGGGATCCCCAGCAAGAGGGGTCTCAGATCAGAGCTGCTTCAAAGGAGTAAGGGATGTGCCTCTAGACCCAGGCCCCAATTAAGGGGGGTGATGTTTTTCTTTTGCTGGGAAATGAGGAGTGCCACATCAGAGACTCTTCCATTTTAAAAGTATTTCACTGAAATATCTGCTTTCTGGCTGTTAGCAAATAGCATGTTTTGAAGCCAGATATCCTGTCCAAATAGTAACAACAATATTACAACTTCAGTCACTAATTCGCTTTCCCCTTTCTTCAGTTTATTTATAACAATTTTTCTTGTGGTTATAAAAGAAACTACAGAAATCATAGAAAACATACAAAATGTAGAGACAAAAAAGTCATGCATAATACCACAACTTAAAGGCGTTAATTGTTGCTAGCTTTTTTATTACTCTCCTTGCCTTTTGAATTTCACTTACATATGTGCATGTATAATGTCATAAGGGGATCATGGGAAGTATAGCACATGGATAGCTTAATATGTCAGCTATTTTTCACATGAGAGTTTTTCTCAAATTGTAATAACCCTTAGAGAATATCATATTTAATGACTATAGAATATTCAATCTCTTCTGTGGACATAGCATCACTTTTTAAAATAGTACCTCGCAGATGCAACGTGGGGGGCTTGGGGGGTGGGAAAAGAATAAATGAAACAAGATGGGATCAGGAGGGAGACAAACCATAAGAGACTCTTAATCTCACAAAACAAACTGAGGGTTGCTGGGGGGAGGGGGCTAGGGAGAGGGTGGTGGGGTTATGGACATTGGGAAGGGTATTTGCTATGGTGCGTGCTGTGAAGTGTGTAAAGGTGCGTGCTGTGAAGTGTGTAAACCTGGCGATTCACAGACCTGCACCCCTGGGGCTAATGATACATTATATGTTAATAAAAAAAAAAGTACCTCGCTCTTAGACTTTTAGATTGTTTCCAATGTTCTTTTGTAAAAGCAACAATATCCTTGGTTGTAGGAGATACACTTCTGTGTCTGGGGAAGGAAGAGAAATGCTTAAGTTTGCCACGGTGCCTGATACCCCTAACTGAGCCTTGTTAGGGCCTTTGTCTGGCTTTCTGTGGATGCTGGGTCTAGACTGAAGGAACAGAATGGGAGTCTTCCAATTCACT